ATAAGCGTACTCTCTATCCCAATATCTACATCATTGATGAAGATATTGAACAGTACGGGTCCCAAAACAGACCCTTGAGGAACTCCACTTGTTATCCCTTTCCAGCAGGATTTAGAACCGTTAACAACCACTCTCTGACTACGGTTATCCAGCCAATTATGCACTCACCTTATCGTGGCCCTATCTAAGTTATATTTGCCTAGTTTATTAATAAGAATATCATGCGAGACCGTATCAAATGCCTTACTAAAGTCTAGGTATATGACATCCACCGCTTCTCCCTTATCCACAAGGCTCGTTATCTTATCAAAGAAAGCTATCAGATTAGTTTGGCATGACTTGTTCTTCACAAACCCATGCTGGCTATTCCCTATCACTTTATTACCTTCCAAGTGCTTGCATATGATTTCCTTAATTACCTCCTCCATTATCTTCCCTGGGACAGACGTTATACTGACGGGTCTGTAGTTTCCTGGGTTGTTCTTATTCCCCTTTTTATAGATGGGCACAATATTTGCCCTTTTCCAGTCTTCTGGAATCTCCCGTCTGCCATGATTTTTTAAAGATCGTAGCTAAATCATAACTACATCATGCTGTTGATTCATATTCGGTTTGTGATCCACTCGAACCCCAGATCTGTTTTAGCAGTACAGCTGCTTAGCCCGTTATTCTCCACTTTCTAATTATGCATTCGATTTCTCTTCCTAAACTGTGCTTTGCGATTGTCTTCACTAAATCTCATCTTATTGAATTCAGACCAGTTCTCCAATTTTGACAAGATCTTTTTGAATTCTCAGCTAGCGCTCCAAAGTGCATGTGATCTAGTGGGCCTACCCTGACCTTGGTCTTCCTCTTCCTTTTAATGTATTTATAAAAGGTCTTCTTGTTTCCCTTTATGCCTGTAGCTAGTTTGATCTCATTTTGTGCCTTTGCCTTTCTAATCTTGCCCCTGCATTCCTGTGTTGCTTGCCTATATTCATCCTTTGTTAGTTGTCCTACTTTCCATTTTTTATATGACTCCTTTTTTATTTTGAGATCGTGCAAGATCTCCTTGTTAAGCCAAGCTGGAGCTGAGGTGGGTTTTCCCATGGCTGACTCAGTGGAATTATCAGCCTGCCCTGCTGGGAAAGGGGAAATGCACAAACTTCCCGCCCCCCATGTGAGCCTGTCCTAGCTGGGGCACAGAAGAAACACCAGCTCCTCACCCTCAGCACTGAGGTCAGAGGCCGGGTCAGGGAGAATGAGTGGAACAAGCAAGCGGAGTCTCATTCTCCACATCGAGGTGTGACCCGCCGTGAAACGCTGCTAATTCACAGCCCCTGGGAAATCCTGCAGCAGGGAGTTCCACAGGTTGCCCGCACATGCATCGATTCTCAGGCCGGAAGGGCTCATTGCAATCTCAGTCTGACCCCCGTGGATAGCAAGGGCCAGAGAACTCCCCCAAAATAATTCTTAGAGCAGATCTGTTAGGAAAAACATCCCATCTTGATTTCAAACTTATCCATAACGGAGAATCTACTACTACCCTCCGTCCATTGTTCCAATGGTTAAAGACTTTCATTGTTCAAAATGTACACCTTATTTCTAGCCTGCATTTGTCTAGCTTCAACGCCTGGACCATGTTTCACCTTTTTCTGCTAGATTGAAGAGCCCGTTGTTAAAGGTATTACATATCTCTATTAAATAACTCTCATGCTTCAGGGCATGACACCACCCCTTTGATCTTGTGGTCAGGAAGAAAATTTTGCCCTGGGGGCAGATTAGCCAATCGCTGCAGGATTCCTAGACCCCCCCCTCTGGAGGAGCTGTCACTGGCCAGAGGAGACCCGCCGACATGCCCACCTGGTCTGATCAATGCATCCTGGAGCTCCGTGGTTGCTGAATTCCCGCTCAGCAAAGCCTCTGCAGATGGATGGAAGCAGGATACAACCCTGAGCCTCTGATCTTCTTCCTCCCCACAAGCTGTGCAGTGCTTGGCGGTTTTGCGGCGTTTGCTCCTGGTGAAGCTGGCTGCAGAGCTGCTGTTTCCAGGCAGGGAGTCAAGATGGCACGAGGCCTGAAAGAGCAACTGAGGCACAGAGTTGGGACTCGCGATCATTCCTGCTGGGAGAGGGTTGGGCTAAAAACCACACGCAGGGGGTGGGGCCAGCTCAGACGTTTCGGCGGGTGCATTGGGAACCACTGCCCTAAAACCTCTTTTCCAGCTGCCACTCCAAACCAGAGCTGTCTCCCCCAACCTGGGGTCTCCCGCTCCTTCCTTCAGGTGCAGCCCAGCCAAAAGACCTAGGATTCTGTGTCCCTTTTCTTTTTGTTAAAGAATTGAGACCCCCTCCCTCCCAACTGCTCAGACTTAAGGACAAAAGATTGTTTCACAGTGGCACATCTAGAAGTTGCAGGAAACACCCTCCATGTCTCCCATTCACACATTGGAAACTCACAAAATATTCCCCACTCCATGGCTGTGTCTACACTGGCAAGTTATTCCAGAAAATCAGCCGCTTTTCCGGAAAAACTTGCCAGCTGTCTACACTGGCCGCTTGAATTTCCGGAAAAGCACTGACGATCTCATGTAAAATCATCAGTGCTTTTCTGGAAAAACTATGCTGCTCCCGTTCGGGCAAAAGTCTTTCTCCGGAAAACTGTTCCGGAAAAGGGCCAGTGTAGACAGCACAGTAGTGTTTTCCGCCAAAAAGCCCTGATCGCGAAAATGACGATCGGGGCTTTTTTGCGGAAAAGCGCGTCTAGATTGGCCACGGATGCTTTTCCGGGAAAAGTGCTTTTGCGGAAAAGCGTCCTGCCAATCTAGACGCGCTTTTCCGGAAATACTTTTAACGGAAAAGGTTTTCCGTTAAAAGCATTTCCGGAAAATCATGCCAGTGTAGACGTAGCTCATGTGTCTAATTTTCCACACACCCATGATACATACAACAGAGCAAGATAAACAGAACTAGCAAATCATGACATGAAGATGGACGGGTTACGTGAAATAATTTGCTCAACCCACCTTTGAGTTACGTATATTTGTGTCCATGAGTCCAGTTCATAAAGTTTGGGAGGAGGAGTCCAACACAAGCGTCATGGGCAAGATCTCTGGTCACCATGTGATGTCTTGAGCAACCCTGCACCCTGCTGTGGTTTTGAGGATCTTTCATCTCCTTCCTCCTCCCCAGCGGCAGTTTGGCAGCGCCTGCGCGTCACTACGCTGCAGTTTGCAAGCAGCACGTCAGTGGGGCACAGGGGAAAAGCCACCACAGGGATTATATATAGCTCGGCTCCTGCGCCAGGGCCTGGACTCCGAATTTTGCCAGCTGGAATCCAGCCTCCGCCAGCCGCGAGGGAAGGCACCAAGCTGAGAAGCCAGATTCCTCCACAGGTGAGAAGGGGGGAACTTTCCACTCCTGGGTCCTTCTTGGAGCTTCTCCAACAGCAGTGCTTCTTAAACTTTTTCAGACCAAGGAACACCAAAACAAAATGTTGTTTTTATGGGGTATACGAAGGATTTTTTTGTGGAGCAAAAAACAAAAAAACTGTCCGACAGGATCCAGGGACGTTGCGGCTCCTGCAGTGAGGAACTGGCAGTGGGTGGGGCCTGCGAGTTCGACTGTCCTGTGCGTGCCTCAGTTTCCCTGCGCACCGCACCAATGCAGGATGAGTGCGGGCAGCTATCCCAGCCTCAGCATGAACACAGTGACTGATTCCCTTGGTAATTTAAGCAGGGAGGGGTACAACCAGGTCACACCGTGAGCCCGGGAAGGAGGATAAAGGCCGGAGGAGGGACCTAGGACCTGGAAGGTGGGTGGGTCACTCTCAGCTGGCTTGCGGTGTAGGGGGAGGGTCAGGTCTCTGAGCCTGGGGGCCCCCCTCTCCCCACGATGGATGGGGCTGGCTGCTTCTGGTTCCTGTGCTAACAAGTCTGTTCTATGCTGTGTCCCTATCCACAAACAGACCTTCTCTCTCACTTGCCGGCTGAAAGTCACATCTGGCTGCAGATGGAGGGGAGAGGCAGGGCCCAGTGACCCACCCACCCCTCGGTGACACCCTCTCTCTGGGATTTACAGTAGCCACCACCCCCGTGTGGGGTTGGCATGGAAGAGTCCAATTCTCAGCTGGGTAATTCATCAATCTGGCTCACCTCCAAGCCTTTGCTTTGCCGAGAGCGTCTGCCCACCCGGGCTCCTGAACATGTTCACTCTGTGGCCGGCCAGTTTCCTGTGCAATCTCCCCCACCTCCGAATCTAGAGAAGCCGCATCGTAAGCAACCCTAGAGCCATTCCCAGCCGGAGCCCCACAGTTACTTGGTTCCGGTAGCACAACTTCCTCCACTGAGCGGGGCAAATTCTTTTCGTCAGTGGAAAAAGAGTTTCACCGATTGTTGGGCGGGAACAGACTTGCTGGGATCTCCTTTTCTGGGGGGGAAAAACCGAAATGTTACATTTTGATCTTAGAGAGATACAGCAGGCGAGATAACATCTTTTATCAGACTGATGGAGAGGGTCCAGAGAAGAGCAACAAGAATGGTGAAAGTCTAGAGAACATGAGCTATGAGGGAAGGCTGAAAGAACTGGGTTTGTTTAGTTTAGAAAAGAGAAGACTGAGGGGGGACATGAGAGCAGTTTTCAAGTATGTAAAAGGGTGTCATAAGGAGGAGGGAGAAAACTTGTTCATCTTGGCCTCTGAGGATAGGACAAGAAGCAATGGGCTTAAACTGCAGCAAGGGAGGTTTAGGTTGGACATTAGGAAAAAGTTCCTAACTGTCAGGGTGGTCAAACACTGGAATAAATTGCCCAGGGAGGTTGTGGAATCCCCATCTCTGGAGATATTTAAGAGTAGGTTAGAGAAATGTCTATCAGGGATGGTCTAGACCAGGGGTTCCCAAACTTTTTGAGAAACCCTCACATGCCCCCTCCTCCCCCATAACAGCAAAACTTGAAATAAGGGATAAGGGATCTTTCGGAAAAGGCTTTATTTTCCGCAAAATCAGCGTCTAGACTGGCGCTTTTTTCCGGCAGAGTTCCGTGCGGAAAAAAAGCGGCAGCCTTTCTTATGCTAATGAAGCGCGGGAGATTGAAATCCCCGCGTCATTAGCAGTTGCGATACGTCTAATGTACATCCCTTTTACAGACGTAGCCTTCCAGTCCTAGTATTCTATGATTCTATGATGGGCTTCCCTGTCATTTCATTTCTATGATGGGCTTCCCGCTGCTCTCCAGGGCTGGTATCTTTTTATTTGGACTGGTATATGATGGAACAATACTTTTCCTCTGTCGTTGAGCTTCGTATGTTCTATTGAATATGATGTCTACCGGAAAAGCTCTGTTATCCAGCACAATGGGGAGGGGGGTGCCGGTTAACCGAATATTCTGGTTAACAGAGAGTTATGCAGGACTGACGGCATACCAATTTTGAACCAATTAGAATGCAATCCTATAAACAAAATATGAACTAGCCAATGGGCACTTGTCCATCAGTAGCAGCGCTGCCTTGCCGAGTGATAGGTTTTCGGAAGCTCTTAGCTGCATATGATAAAGTTTTCTACACAGCAGGTCGGAAGAGACCATCTCCCAGACTATCTGCCCACTGCCCCGTCTCCCTCTTTATCCCTCTCACCGGGTTCTCTCTCCCAGGTTTGGCCTCCACCGACATCACCATGGATCTCTGGCTCGCAGGGCACTGCTGGACGAGATGGGCATGCAGCTGTCTTCTTCTCCTGCTGCTCTCCAGGGCTGGTTTCTCCACCCCATGCCAGCTTGACCCGCCAGGTAATGGAGACGCCGGCTGCTCTGTTGAAACTCTCTGCCTGCTTCCAGAAAATGTGTCACTGAGGTCACGGCCCCCACCAACACAGGTCACCAGTAGGGTGTGTCCAGAGGTACTTCTATTGCTTGAACTAAAAGGGCTACTCCATTTGACAGCAGCAGCAGCAGTAGGTTGTTATCTTCGGTAACCCTATGTTGCCCTCTGGTGGCTGAACAGCATAGAGGCTGATAAATCTGATACTGGCTTTTGGGCTCTTTTAGGGCAGGCATTACAGGGGCATGTTTGACACCGAACTGGGGGAGAACCCAGAAGTCCTGGCTCACAACCATCCCCACTCTAACCCACTGGACCCCACTCCTCGCCCGGTCGTGGGGTTGGAACCTGGGTATGCTACATGCATATCCACCTCAATCTCTCCTGTCTCACCCACAGGTCCCTCTCTGCTGTCCCTTCTAGGTGCTGGCAATTGCTCCCACGCCCACTGCTCTGTGGCCAGCGGTGGCTTCTTGCACCTACAGCTCCCATCTCCCCGGCCCCCCACAGTGGACCTTTACAAGTGGCACAATGCCTCACGGACTTGGGACCATGCCTACAGCTTCTTCAACGAGACAGCACAACAGCTGCTGGATTTCTTCCAGGGCCGGGTCTCCCTGTCCGGGGGCAACTTCGCGGCACAGAACGTGAGCCATGAAGATGAGGGAGACTACAAGTTTCAAGATCTGGATGGGAAGTGCCTGGCCTGGCTCCATCTGACCGTGCTGGGTAAATTCAGCCCCTGGGCGGCTCAGTGTCATTGTTTGATAAGAGAGAGTTTTTTGGGGAGGGAATTTTCCATCTCAGTTGGAGGAAAGCAATTCAGTGCAGACCCCTGAATGAAAACATTAAAACCCCACCATCTATTCATCAATGGTCCCTCTAATTTTTTCCCCTCGGTGTGTATTTTGCCATCCATGTGCGGAATAATTTTATATGTGCACCAAGGTGCATGTGAATGTGCACCACTAATAAACACACAATACCTAGCTGTGGACACTCTGCTAATCAGCCGGTTGGTATTCCTGAGTAACCGCACAAATGCACAATTTACAAAGGGAACACCACATTTCATCCCAAAACCTCTGTGAGGTCCAGGGACGACACTGCTCCGTCTGTCTGAGGCTACTACAACAAACTGCCAATGCCTTAAAACTTTTCAGAGCAATGTCCCAATAGACACACTGATCAGGAACAAAAGGCCTCAGTCCAAGTTGGTTTTTCTGAGAGAAGGCGCAAGGATGCAAAACAGCCAATAGGGATGGAGTTCAGGGCCTGCACTCTGAGATGCAAATAAACTTTCTTTAACATCAAAACTTTTAAAGGAAAATATCCATGAAGATAACAGGGTTATTTTTTTTATTGAAGTCCAAATTTTCCCTGGAAAAATTCCACAGATATGACCTTTTTTATGATTAAAATCAAAATTGATCCTTGAAAATTAACTTTCTTTTTTTCCCCCCCATTGAAGTCAAATGTTTCTGTGGCAGCATTTGGTAAAACACAATGAATGTTTTCCTTCATTCCAGCCAAAATGTTCCATGGAAAAATGGGACGAACTTGAACTTTTTTTTCCCATTGGCATCCATGTTTTCCCCCAAAGAACTCCCCCTTCCCGACCGCCCCTTCTCTCCGCTGTAGTAGCCAGTCTTGGGGCAAACTTCCTCTCTCTTTGCCTGCAGATCCCGTAGATCCCACAGATCCGGCAGATCCTGTGACCTGGAGATGGTACCTGCTTTTCATCCTGCTTCTCATTCCAGTGGTGCTAGCTGTAGTGGCCTGGAAGCTAAAGTACGTGATTTGCCGAAGATGGCCGGGGGCGCCCAAGAAGACAGAAACAGAGGAGGCTACGAATGGGCCGAGCAACCCCCCAAATCAGTCACAGGAGGGGGGACACAGAGGGCCACCCCCAATACCCTTAACTATCCATACGCCTGACGGCTCGCCTCCGTAGGAATCCTACCTGGCTAACGCACACATTGGAAACCACAGCAGTGCAGAGTCACATGCTCCCAGTAGAGAGAAGACAATTGCATTATGGGTGGCTAGCCCAGGTGCCCTGTGGCCCACTGAATTCTGGGTATTTTTTGCACTAGAACAGGTGTGGCCAACCCTGTGGATCCAAAATGGCAGCCATGGACGGGAGACTGCTAAAAAGCCTTCTTAAAGGGCTAGTCTTTTTTTTTTTTTTTTTTTGTTCAACAGCTGGATCCACTAATATCTTGGCACTTTGGCCATCCCTGCACTAGACTGTGGGATAGTTCTTGGGAGTCTTTGTGAGAAGAGGGATCAAAGGGTCATAATGTTCTCCCCCACGTGTCAAGCCAAAATACCACCCGGTGGGGATATTGACTCTGAACCCTAGCGATGACACTTTGACATGGATTCATGGAGGTTGGGTCCATCAATGGCTATTAGCCAGGGTGGGTAGGAATGGTGTCCCCAGGCTCTGTTTGTCTGGAAATGGGTGACAGAGGAAGGATCACATGAGGATTATCTGTTGTGTTCCCTCCCTCTGGGGCATCTGGTATTGGCCACTGTCGGCAGACAGGATACAGGGCTAGATGGACCTTTGGTCTGACCCAGTACGGCCGTTCTTATGTTCTCATGAGTCTTGTTCTTACAAGACTGTAGTCTATCCCTAAATTGGCCACAGACTCCCACGGGTTGTCACTGCGCTGCTCCATGCCTCAGTTTCCCCTTCTGAAAAGTGAGGCTAATACGCCTGTCCTGTATTGAGATCAGAAACCTTTCCCGGTAAAGACTGTGAGTAAGGTTATACGGCATCTGGTACAATGGCTGAGCTTGGCTGGAATGACTGTAAATGTACATAATAAGGAAGAGAGAAAACGGGAGTCAGAGAAGATGCAAACTGACCCTATGTGACCACGTGATGCAGCTGTCCCGCTGCCCTGGTCAGACCAGCCTGGGGTGCAAAGCACTTTAAAGGGGGCGCTTTAAAGGCAACATGTATTTATTATGCATTAAGGAATAAAAAAAGTCTGTGTCATAAAGTCATCGTGACCTATCAAAATTCAGTGACTGTTGCTTAGACAGAACAAGCATTGAGACTAAAGGAGATGTGATTTGAGAGCTGATCTGCAAAGCTTGAGATGAATGCTTGCGGTCTGTGAGGTCAAGATACCCAGCACTTTCCCATTATGATCCTCAACCTATAAAACACGGGGTTGCTTCGAAAGAAGTTAAGAGATTTTTGTAGCACAGATACTGCCTGGTTGGCTGCAGGTGTGCACGTCACGTGTGTAAACACAGATGTAGGCGGGTCCACACGCCTGATGGGTGTGTATACGTGTGATGGGGGTGCATGTGTGTTGGGGAGGAGAGGTTCCCCAGAAAACATCGCATTTTTAGGCAAAAACAAAATGAAAAACGGAAATATCTGAAATTGGAAATCTCACTCCAGGACAACATGGGAGTTGTAGTTGTGATGTCTCATGTAGCTCATTCTGAACTATCAGCCAGACACCCGGATCAGACTACATTACCCATGATGCACCAGCTCTTGGTGGAAGAATGATGTGCCCCACAGCAGCCAGTGCATCATGGGAGATGAAGTCCAACTGGAGAGAGCTGAATGAACTACAGGTCCCATGAGGCATCACTGCATTTAGGGACCTTGGGTTTTTCAAGGCAATTGGAGGTTTTTGACAGGAAGCAGATGCTGCTTGCGGAAAAATGTTTATTTAGTTCACTCCAGACAACAACATCAATGGCAAAAATTTTAACACCTACCATTATGTTAAAGTGCAATTAACGATTTTGGTTACAGAGGGCCAAGGTTGCATGAACTGTTATTGGAATGGGCTGAAAACACATTTTGAAATAAACAAAGCATTTCCAAACTAATTGGGATTCAAAACAAAATTTCAGTTAAAATTCTGGTGAAAAGGTTTATGGAAAATTTTGAGAAATACCTTTTTTCTGCAAAAAACCATCATTTTCTTTAGAAAGGTCAATCTTCAGTGGGAAAAAAAAACTTGGCCTTTAAAAGACAGCCAGCTCCAAAGAAGTCCCAAAATATAGCCAACTCTCGGACGAAAGTGTAACATTGTTTTCATTCTGTGATTAATAGAGGATAAAAGCCTAATACTGCAACCAGCTAATGGAGTTACAGCTTTAGCTTGAGCAAAGAAATTTCACTGAGGCCTCATACCCTTTCGACTTGTATCTTGTATTGTTATTTACAGTAGTGTAAAATGTGTGTGAAATGCTCACACTGTCAATGTGTTACATCCACCCGTGTAAATTAGTGCGAAGCAAAAATTTCAACCGATCCTTTTTTTTTTAAACAGCAAAATGCAAACTTGGATCAAGTGAAACATGTTGTGACTTTTTGTTGGTTTTGACTAATTGTTTCGGTCAAACACACAGCTACACACAACTGAAAAAAGGTGAATTGTTTCATTGTGACATTTTCTTTGAGCCACAAATTCACGGCGTCCAAGAGTTCATAGAGCCAGAAATCTTTCGAGCCCAGGGCAAAACTGTGACAACTCAAGATGACCTCCCACATAACACGGCCTGGAGAACTTCCTCAAATTGCTTCCTGTTTGAACTAATGCAGATCTGGTTCAGCCCTCAAATGAAGTTCTTTCTCCAACTTTTTGACACAGTGAAAATGTCACAAAATGTCCCTTTCAAAGGTTGATCCAAACCAATGTTCCCCCTCCACTTGCCAACCACCTGAAAACTCTTTTCTCTGCCCAGGTGGGGTTCCCACCGCTCTTAAAGCCAAAATAGACAATTAAATTACCCAAGTCAGAGATTTCCTGGAATATGTTTGGTCTGGTTTCTGGGTCCAAATCTCACTGGTGACACAAACAGGACCTGGGGTGACTGTGAAATGCAAGAAGATCCCATCTGATACGAGCTATAACGTTTGAGCGGCTTTAATATGCAGTGGTAAATGCGAGGAGGGAAATGAAAATGAGGAAGAAAGTATTGGGAAACGAGTCACGCCCTTCTCTTCCGTAATAAAGGCGAAAGATGAAGGGGGTGGGAAATTCCAGATTGGGTGGATCCACTGCTCTAAAACAGCCTCAGTCATATGGCCCCAAGTAACACCAGCTGGGACTCTGGTGCATTTCTCTCTAGAGGAGCAATCTTGATTCACGCCTATGAGGATTTGCCCTGGCTGGGGAATCTAACCTGGACACTCGACATCTGCGTGCAATCTTCAATGAAAGACCGTGCAGGCAGACAGCACCAGAGAGGAGGGGCTGGTGTTGGATCTCACCGCAGGGTCTCAGGTTACGAAGCAGCGCGGTGGCGACCTGTGGAACTCGCCGCTGCAGGACATGCAGCCGGATCAGTAACTGAGGCTGGAATAGAGTTCCTCTGAGCTTTCTGCTCTGGGCGTCTCGCGGAGGGCCCTCAGCATCATCAGGGCAGTGGTGGTTTCATCAGCCTCTGAGAGGGACTCTGTCACTAGGGTGTCCTGTTTTCTCGTGGACAGGACGTGCTGTGGAAGGGAATCGCAGGCATAAGCTGGACATGCAGCAGGTGACAGGGGGAGTTTCCCATGAAGGGCTCAGGTGGTGGAGGAGGTAGGGGACGGGAAGGGGAAGAGTCTGTGTTAAGCTGTTCTCTCTCTCTCTCTCTCTCTTTCTCTCTCTCTCTCTCTCACACACACACACACACACACACACACACACACACACACACACACACAGAGTTCAAGGTGTGTATATCATATTCCCTACAGCAGAGAGCAGCATTTACACACACACTTCACAAGTATTGGGGTGTGTGATGTGTCTGTAAATGCTGTCTCCTGCTGGAGGGAATACACCACACTTCCTAATCCTTGTGAAGTGTGTGTGTTCCCTCTAGCAGGGGGCAGCATTCACACACACACACACACACACACACACACACACACTTCACAACTATCAGAGTGTGCAATGTATTCCCTCTAGCAGGGGGCAGCATTTACACACACACCCACACACACCACACCAGTGCAAGGTGTGTATAGCATAGTCCCTCCAGCAGGGGGCAGCATTTATGCACACGCCCACACACACACACACACACACACACACACCAGTGCAAGGTGTGTCTAGCAAAATCCCTCCAGCAGGGGGCAGCATTTATACACAGACACACACACACACACACACCAGTGCAAGGTGTGTATAGCAGAGTCCCTCAAGCAGGGGGCAGCATTCGCGCGCACACACACTTCACAACTACCAGGGTGTGCGATGTCTTCTCTCCAGCAGGGGGCAGGACTTTTACACACACACACACGCACACACACACACCAGTGCAAGGTGTGTATAGCAGAGTCCCTCAAGCAGGGGGCAGCATTTACACACACACACACACACACACACACACCAGTGCAAGGTGTGTATAGCAGAGTCCCTCAAGCAGGGGGCAGCATTTACACACACACACACACACACACACACACCAGTGCAAGGTGTGTATAGCAGAGTCCCTGCAGAGAGGAGCCTGAATTCAGAGCCCTGCTCCACCGCAGAAGCCAGGGACTCACCCCCCAATTCCCTCCTGTGGGGGGAGCGGGTGGCGGGCATCCCAGGCAGGTCGCCCCAGGCCCCCATGCCCCTATAGCAGAGTCCCTCAAGCAGGGGGCAGCATTTACACACACACACACACACACACACCAGTGCAAGGTGTGTATAGCAGAGTCCCTCAAGCAGGGGGCAGCATTTACACACACACACACACACACACACCAGTGCAAGGTGTGTATAGCAGAGTCCCTCAAGCAGGGGGCAGCATTCGCGCGCACACACACTTCACAACTACCAGGGTGTGCGATGTCTTCTCTCCAGCAGTGACCAATGCCAGATGCCTCAGCCTCTCCTGTCATCTGTTTCCAACCTCTGACAAACAGAAGCTAGGGACACCAATCCTACACATACTGGCTAATAGCCAGTGATGGACCTAGCCTCCATGAATTTATGTTGAACTATTTTGAACCCTGTTAAAGTTCTGGTCCTCACAACATTTTCTGGCGAGGAGTTCCACAGGTTGATCGTGTGCTTAATGAAGAAAAACTTCCTTTTGTTTGTTTTAAACCTTCTACCTATTAATTTCATTTGATGACCCTTGGTTCTTTTGGGTCACTTGAGCAAGATGCTCTTGAGGTACATCCCTCCTAAGAAAAAAAACAGCTACTTGTTGGAAGAACTAAGTGATTTTACTTTTTTTGCATATAACTAGTACACAAACTATTGCTACAATCCTCCCCAAATTCTCAGACAATCAGAATTATCTCAGGTAGGAAGCATTACTTCCAATCCTTGAAAAAGGCACTTGACATAATGTTTGGGACTCCAAGGGTATGTCTACACTACAGCACTAATTCGAACTAACTTAATTCAAATCAATTAATTTGAACTAAGCTAATTCAAACTAGTGCATCTAGACCTAAAAACTAGTTCGAATTAGCATTTTGCTAATTCGAACTAGCATGTCCACATTGAGTGGACCCTGAACTGGGGTTAAGGATGGCCGGTAGCAGTGCCGGCAGGGCATCAGATTAGGACTTAGAGCGTGGAGCTGCTGTCTCAGGCTAGCTGAGGGCTGTGCTTAAAGGGACTCGACCCCCACCCCAGACAGACAGTTCTCAGGGGTTCCCGGCTCGCTTGTCTAACTCGGTGAGGGACAGCAAAGCAGTCCTGGCTTGGAGTGCCCTGAATGCCCACACTCGGCACATCACAGCACTCGGCCATCAGCCCGGCTGCACTTGCCGCAGGCTGCCATCTGGAGGGGGGGTCAATCTAGGGGCTTCAGGAGAGCTTCCACCCCGAGGAGCCCGCAGAGCCACCCCAGTCCTCCCCATTGGGGGCTCATTCCTCCCTCACCTCCTTCCACATACCCCTCCCTAGCCCCCCTTCCTCATGTACAAAATAAAGGACACGTGTGTTCAAAAATAGAAACTTTATTGAACAAAACTTGGGGAGACTGGGAAAAAGAGGTGGGAGAGGTAAAGAGAGAGGGTGGGAAAGGGGAGG